TCTTGCAAACATCAAATATTAAAAAATTACTTGCAAACATCAAACATTAAAAAATTACTTATCAAAAGTACGTAGTATAATTTTAATATAATCGAAATCGATATAAAATAGTACCTCCATGATAATTACGGACTATAATTATTTTCTTATGGTCTAATCTAAATTCTGACATTGAATGCATTGAAATTCTCACCGATTTAAATGTAATTTACATACTACTTTGTAATATACATACGTATATAGTAACAGTTATTTTATTGTAACAAATATTTCTTTTAACACATACAAGATATGCATGTTTATATGTCTATCTGAAATTAATGTTTTAACCTAGTCTACCAAATGAAACAGCATATGTACGAAAATAGATCATTTAAAACGTATACATATATTCGAAATATAATGATTACACGATTTACCGTTCAATTATTGAAAGGTGCTGTAGCGTCTCGTGTTTGAAATTATTTACATTTTTTTAATATTGTTGGATATTTCGTCAGAGCCGCTGATGTTGTTGCCTTGAGAAAAAATGTTTACGCGCCGCGGACATGGTGTTTACATATATGAATCGCGCGTTCCGTGTGTGCGAGCGCTCTACGCGCTATCATTATCTCATCGATGTTCGTACGGGCAAGTGGTGATAACCGTGTTGCTCCGCATTCCTCTCTTTCTCTTTGCATTTCTTTAATGTTAAACGATACCAAACGTTGCTTACGAATGTAATAATAAATGCTTATTAACCCGTATGATTCGTAAGCATGTGGAACGGCTACTCTCTAACGAAGTATAGTATACATATTTTGCGCGACTTATTCCTTTGATATTTATGATTTTTGTAAATGATCTATTTGATATTTATGATTTTTGTAAATGATAATCTTCAACGGGTACGGCTTTAGAGGTAGAGGGGCTGAGTATTTCGAGAGGTTCTGTATTCCAAGGATGAAAAAGTCAATGATACCCATTGCACCGTTATTAATAACATTAATATCATCGATAATACTAATGTTATTAATAATATATTAATAGCATATCTGTGAATCGTCTAATGGCTCTTATGTGATAAATGCACGCATTAATCGTTGGTTTTGAACTTAATAATCCGCCGTCGATTTAAATGCATAAACGAATTGCAGCCAGTTCGTCGCGCCGCGCATTTATTTCGGGAGTGTCGTAAAAGTGATCGGACTAAAAGATTTGTTCAAATAGTCAAACGTAGAGTGCCGTCAAGTGTTGCACGAAAAACTTTTATATAAAATTAGTCTGCGCGCGACTTTAATTATTCGCGAGTGATTTTCGCGAGTATCCTGTGTTGCGAGAGCCGATCTAATATCCTGAGAGGAGGAGAAGGAAAAGGCCTAGGAGAGGCATCAGACACCGACGGGGTAACCTTGTGGTAAATATACATTTTTTGTCAATGTAAAATTAATTAATTAATTAAAATGTAATGTTAAATTAATTTTCTCATTTATTTGGATTATTAAATTTTGATAAAATTAATAATTCGAGAAAAAAATAATTTACAATTTTACTTCTGTTCATTTCTATAAAGATCTCTTTTAATAATTATCTTAATAAATTATGTTAATAAATGTTATTAACATTGTTATGTTAATAAATGTTATACGTGTAAGAATTACTTTTTAAAATATCTATCATTTTCAGAACTGCTATAATTATTATTAAATGTTTTGTTTGTGTGTTACAGAATCATCGTAGCTATATGACAGAATAATTCCGCTGTTGCGCATCGAATTGGTGAGTAACAAATTTTTTTTTTATGTTACAACAATGATCAAAAGAGAAAGGATCAAAAGCCAATCTTTTGACAAAGAAAATTATTAGCACAAAAAAAAATAAGAAACTTATATATAAATTATATTTAAAAATACATAGATAAAATTAAAATAAATTTAATTAAATCGTGATTATTTTTTTCTCAAATGTGAAAATTACGAAAATTCCATATTTCATAACGTGACATTGCACTTGAGTGATGTCAAGTCGTGGAGCGACTGAGCGACTTTATTATAATCGATCGTTAATCGAGTGTCCTTTAAACATTAGCTTATCATTCGATCGATTAAGATTAGAATGACTAGAGATACGCCACGGTGTTTATATTGTATATATTATGATCAAAGTTTACACCAATATATGTCTTATAACCTTATCATTCACTAATAAGGATTTTGAGCTTTCTAATTTGCAAAAAACTCGATATACGAATCCAAGTCCAATTTTAGTTTGTTCAAGATACAAAAATTTTTAATTACAAAAATAAGTTGTTAATCTAATTTGAATCCTATGTTATAAATTTCAAAGTATAATTTAATATATTTCATTTACTAAATTTGTGATTTTCTGTGGCATGATCTACTTTAATATAGTCACCGAAATTATGAAGATAAAAAGACAGACTTTAAATAAGACAGACTTTTTTACAGAAAATAATTAAAAGCGCGTAAATTGAGCGTCATTTTTTTCTTTTTTTTTTCAAAAGGTAAGTTTGTATGGATTATAATAGAAACATAAAATATTTATACTTATAGGGTGTCTGATGGTATACTGCTTGTGTGCGGGTAGAGCAGGTCAAACTGAGTAGAAAAGTCCTATACTATTTTACGATTTTTGTAGTTAATAACTTAATAATAACTTGTTACTAATTGCGAAAATCGCAAAATAATACAGGATACAGGACATTTTTCTATTCAGTTTGATTCACTCTATTTGCATACATGCGGTGTACCATTAGGACTCAAACATTCTGTGTATACATGAAAACCACAGATAGATCCATTGTCATAAATAGATGGGTTAGAGTAGATTAACGTTAACATTTAATCCTGAAGTGTATACAACAATTAATTTACTTTACATGCAATAATATACGTATACAGATTTTGTGAAGTTTATTATCAATAAACCTTTTTGATTAGTTTATATATGTAATGCCAGAAATAAATTATTATTAATTAAATCTCTCAAAGTTTATTATTTGGATTAATAGATATTTACTTAAATAAGAAATGTAGAATAATATAAATAAATCAAAATGATCATATTAAGTAAAATATTGATATTTCTCTTAAAAATAAAAGTTTTATTTAAATATTTTATATCTTCTTCTTTTTCTATTTTCAATATTTTTTAGTAAAATTTGAGAACTGATTTCCATTTACAGCTTAGTATTAGAAATGTGCAAAAATGAAATATAGTCAAATCATTTTAATACACATATATACTACATATATACTAAATAAAAAAAAAATAGGAAAATACTTCATAATTGTATATGAATCCGATTAATTTGATTGAATTAAAAAATATTAAATATTAAATATTAATTATTGTAATATGTTTGTGTATCACTTAATGTACAATATAATAATTTTTAGATCCAATGAAAATTTTAATCCGAAAAAGTAGCTTTTACATAGATTATTTTCAAATTAATCAATTATGTTTCGAGTATAAAATATATAATGATGAGATAACATTTTTAAACATATTATGTTAAAATTAATTCTTTTAGAGGGAAAAAGCTGATTAATAATAGAATAATACTTAAATACTTAAATATACTTAAAATACTTAAACTGAATTTTACGAACGATTTTGAACGAATTTTACAAATTTTATGAACAGAATATTTAAACTGATATTAAAATTCATAAAAACGTATGTAGAGAATATAAAGAATTCATACCAATAGTAATACTAATTACTGAAAATCTATTACTTGTTTTGGATTTCACATTACTAATTACCAAACGTTATCAACTGTAATATTTTGTATAATATATTTTGAATATTAAGAAGAGTAATTTTATAAATTGTCTCTTAATTATGAATTTACTTATTGATTTGTCAAGTAACATTTTTATCGTATTATCATTATTATCTAGTCGTTCATTTTTCTTATGTTAAATGTTTCACAAATAAATAAATGCCTTTATTTCTTATACCATGGTTGAGAAATAGATATAGTGTTCAAATATCTAATTCAAATATCTATCCATTAATTAACAATAATAAACAGATACACACACACACACACACACACACACACACACACACACACACACACACACACACTATATTGATTAACTAAAAAGTGAAAATGTTTAAATGAACAAATAATTTTGAATATTTGTATATTTGTAATTATCTTTGTGAATAATTATTTATTTAAATACAATTATTTATTTATTTTTTTTTAATATAATTATTTATTAATGCTTTTTTTTTTAACTTTATGTCTGATTTTTCTTTTATTTTCATATGTTATTAACGTTAAATATGAGTGATATATATATTTATTTATTTTAATTCGTTTATATTAGTCGTTTGTTATTGATTACTATCTCTTACGGCAATTTTTTTCTTATTTCATTCAGAGAGATTGGGATACACAATTGTTTAAAGACATAAATTCAAAGGGAAGAGATTAATCGTGAGATTCAATGATTACATCCATTAGAATAGAAATCTTAATTAAAGGATCTCTTGTTTTTGCAATGCACTAATGAAGACTACATAGGAATTAACCAATTAAACGATTAATTAAACGATATCTCTAAATCAGTGCAGAATAATACATCTTACCTAAATCAGTTCTAAATGTTGCATAAATATCAACAAATAAGATTTTGTTGCTACCAAAATAAAATAAGAATTTAAGTAATTAATACATTAAAATATTTCTATTACAAAAAAATTTAAATATACTTATACATTACAAAACATTAGTTAAATATTTAAGATTGCGTATTATTAACATTATCGGCTAATTTTTATCAGCAAACTTTCCACCATGCTGCCTGAGCCTTGTACTCAATTTCACGTTAATAAAGAATCTACTCGGTTACGCCTAAAGGGTCTATATATAGAAACATCTTAACTAGCGCTACGATCTACTGATTACTTGTACTGATATCTCCGCTACCACCGCACTACATCATTGTGGATGCTTCGGTTTTGTAATTAGCGAGACTCACTGTAATCCAAAGCCCAGTAATCACCAGCACCCGCCGTGGGCAGCACAGTGCTCCATGCCTCTATGTAAGAACAGAAAGAAAGAAAGAACGAAAGTAAAGAACCGAACCATGCGTCAGTCATTCGCGAAAAAAATCCTTATGCATTTTCTAAGGAAAAACAACACACACACACACACACACACACACACACACACAGAGTGTTCCAACCGTTCGGTAATTTAAACGTTGAAAAACTTTTGCGCGATTGTTATAAAATTGTCTGTCTGTAAGCAGCAGTTCCATAAACGCGAATATCGAGTGTTAAACAACGAAGTTTCTCCGCGCGGAATGCCGTGAACAAAGTTGAATCACTTTGTTCAGATAACGATTTCCGCCGCGAACATAAACTCTTGATTATCGGAGTTGAGGTAGATAATACGAAACGAGTGGCTTATCATAGTCTGTTTTATATTCACCCGGCGATGTTATATTCAACCCGATGATTAGTCTCTCGACTTACTCTAAGTTACGTCTTAATTTCACAAAAAAGTTTAAACTCACTCACGTAATTTCAAGTTGCGGTTTATCGTAAGCGATACTGATTAGAGACTTGTTACGCGACGTAACGCATTGATTGTAGAATCTCTTTTCTTATCTCCTCTCCTTTTTTTATAATCTGCACATGTACACCTCCCTTTTTCATCGCATGCTGGCAGCGTTCAATTTTCCGCGATATTTGTTAAGAAATCCCGGTAGACTAATTATTTTGACCCTAATAAATTCTGAACTTCCTTTTTCTTTGTGCTCCAGCCCTCATTTCTAGCTTCGCTATTTTATCTTGCGCGTCTGTAACACTCTCATCCTTTCTGCACCCCTTCCATTTTCTTCTTCCTTTTTCCTCCATTCGTTTCAACATGGTCATTAAGGCTGGAAATTACATTATATCGCGTATAACGACTGTGCCTGTCAGACACGACGAGGACAATCGCGCCTGCAAAAAGCTGTTAAGAGAGGAATTAAAATGAAATTGTCCTGGTTCCTTTTGCAAGGAGTAGTCTTTGAAGTTTCGCATTCTTCTGGACGATGTCTCAGTAGCGACAAAAGACTCGGCCGTGAGTTCGCAAAGATTCGCAATTATCAGTGAAGTGAACCTTTGAATAAACATTCCATGCTGCAATTTTCGATAAAGGAAAATTGTTTATTCGGCGCATGAAGATACTCTTTTTCAATAAATTTTCAATATCGTAAATTGCAGAACCAATTTATTCAACATATTTACTTATTGCATCGAGTAATGAAAAGGAGGAATCGAAAAATGTAAAAACAGTTTGATGTTTTATGATTTTCAAGATTTCTTTCTATCGTTAGAAAAAAATATTAATATGTCATGAAATTATGATACATAATTAATTAATTAACTACCACGTAACGGTAACTTTGCATACTTATTTGTTGGTTACGTGAGACTGCAAGAATCTATTAAACAATTTACGTAACTTACATCATAAATATATCTCGAAACGGTGCATCATATATCTGTCATGCGCAGTAACAGAAAATTCGCAAGTAAAATTACCACTGATATACGAGAACTGTTTTTGCGAGCAACACGAAAATCTGAGAAAACGCAGAATTTTATCGTAGAAAGTAAATCGCAATTAAAGTAGATCCGGTACGTTGCTCATTGTGGAAAAAGTAATCTCGCTTTTCGCTTATTAAATCCGTGCAAAAGCTCCTGATTTTCGTGAAAGAGAAAATTCCGAAACATATGTTGCAAATTAATATCTATTTTATTGATATTATAGAAATAATTTTTTTATGATCACAGAATTTAAAATCAATTGTAATATATTAGATTTCATTTATTTTATTTTACTTGCAATTGACGGAAATTAATTTTTATGAAATCAAAATATAAATATGATACGAGCATTTAAATTTCTCATAAATTATCAGAATTAATTCAATTATTGGAACTAATCTTCTTCTTTTACTCGAGCTTTTTCTTAATTGTTTCGCGTTGAAAGCAAATATATAATGAACTTTCGCATATTTCGCCATTCATATTTGCGATTTTCAAATCGCCTCTGTTAACAACTCCTTATGCGCGCACCTCATTAACGAGGAAGAAGTCTGATTGTAATTATCGGTGAAACGTCTTGGAGTTGCTCGGCTTCTCTAATTGCCAATGGCTTACGAGAGGGAAAAATCATTCTGGAACGCCATTTCGTTTCTACAGCTGTCGACAATTACGCCTCATTAGGCGACGCGCGTTCTCTCACGAATACGCGTGGGAGTTAACGAGAAATACACGTTTGTAGTTGCGTTTTATCATTAAAAGCAACGATCGATCGGGCATCAGGAAAGAGGATAAAAACGGCAATGAAGTCAAAATAACCGTGCAACACGCTTTCTGCAAGAATGTAAAATGTAAAGAGATGATGAATATTTGAAGGAAACATTCTCCGTTTTAACAAACCGTGAATGAGTGATTGATATTTAAGGTTAACGCGATGATCGACGTTAATAAATTATCGATCCCCAAATCGAAGGACTCAGAGATTGGAAGAATGTCGCGAATAGATCATAAATTAATAAAGATTGCTGAAAATAATGTTAAAGCCATACGAAATCAATTTTTACAGATAAATATCAGAGGTGAATTGAAATTACCTTGACGAAAGCTGCCTTGAATAAATTATGATAAATCAAGCAGTCGAGTAGTTTAATTATCAAAGTTTAATTATCATTAAATATCAATTATTTATAAACTGTAATTAAGAGTATTAAATTTCTTCTGCTAATGAAATATTTTGAATACTCTCTATCTTTTAATTTATAAACGATAATAATTTGATTATAATTTATTTATTAACTTCGTATATCTTTGATTAAGTTTGTAGATGTATATATTAAATTTGAAACGCGAATACATATTATTTGTATTTTCGTTCAGTTAAAGTGACTCGTGAATACGAGAGCAGATATTGGCTTAATTTATATTAACCTAGTGTCGCAATATTGTCAAATTAATTATTTCTAAATATACGTTAATGTTAAGTATTAGTAAGCAACATAAATTAATATTGTGTATAAAAAGTTGAAAATATTTAAACTTAATAAAGTTTCTTCGTCTCAGCAAAATGATATAAATCTCTGACATAAAATAAAATTACTAATATAAAATAATTTTTATTATAATTAGTTTAGAAGTTCAGATTATTAAAAATTAATTTACTAACCTTTCTCGCAGTATGCACCTTCGTAATCACCGGTGCGACATTCGCAGATTGGTCCGCTGTCCGTAGAAATGCAAATGCCGCCATGTTGACACGGATCGCGAGTCTCGCAAGCATCCGTCGTATTCACCATATTGCGTAAACTCTGCAACAAGCATTATATTATAACGTATACTAATTATATTTGTATTTGGAAATAATTATTTAACATTTGGATATCAGTATAGTAATAATAAGAACATTCGAATAATATGAAATATTTATATTGTAAAGGGATTTTTAATTAGATCGTGAATAGTGAAATTATAAAACGTATAAGCAACTATATAGTTCAAGTACTGTATTATATAATGAGAAAATATGTCAAGAGTTGAATACAGAAAAGTATTTTATTTTATATTTTCTATGTGTAATTAAAAAAATTTATTATAAAAGAAAGATTTTTGTTATCTATAACTATATTACGTTTATAATTATATAATTTAGGAGAAGATTAGTGCAAATTAAGTTAAAGTATAATATAATTAAATGTGAAAAATAAGATACAAATGAGAACGGTCTTACTGTATCTAATTAAATACTGTATCCATTATCTAATTAAAAGTTTTACTTCGCATGTATTACAGGAAAACCGCATAATAATCAAACTACAAATACATATTTTTAAAAATCATCTTACGAATGCAAATGCTTTGAAATTATTCTTACTATTACGTGCTACAACATTTTCGCATCGTATTATGCAGTAGACTTCCTGACATGGATATATTAACTGCAGTAATATAACTTATCATGAATCCAAGAAAGATTCAGTATACAAGTATAGGTAAGGGCAGGAATGGAAAATTTTTCTATCTTGTACTTATGCAGAGCACTTACTGCAATATTTTGGCACTCGACTGATGCAGATATTTAAATATTTAACGATATATACGCCACGATATGTATTTTAAAACATTTGACTTTTAAATATTAATAATTTTTTGTTATTCGTATAAAATTGGATAAATTCTTTTACATATTTCAACTTAATCCTTAAACGTTAATTTTATGTATTTTATGCGCGTGTGACAATTTTATTTAAACGATATTATTGCAAAAGTTGTTACAGGGTGTATCGATTGATGTATTATAGAAATAAAATCAATATTTTATGCATATATCTAGCTAATATATCTAAGTGATTTTTTACACTAACATTAATAATGTGAAAATACTTTAAGATATATATATATATATATATTTTAAGATTAAAATGTAATGAAAATTTTCGATATTTTAAAAAAATAGTATCATCAATCAAACAAATATCGACAATTTTATAAAATTCATACTCGACAGAAAATAAAAATAATTTCTACGTACAGATTAATTCGAGATTAAAAAAAAACTTATTACATTTATTACAAGATCTAGTTTACACAAAAAAATACAAAAAAATGAAATACATAATATTTCTTTAAATATAAATTCTTTAAATATAAAGTCCTTTATATTTCATACAATCTATTATTTAGCATTTATTATATATTATTATATATACATGTTATTATACATTATTTCTTTTTCTCTCTGAAATAAATAACAGATGATATATTTGATACCCTTCGTAATATCGTGTGCGACATTCATCGTAATATTACGTAGCGACGAAAATTAAGGAGAAGGTAGAAAAATAACGTACTTTAGTTTGAAGAAGAGCTCCGCATTTTTTCAATTTACATTTATCTTTATTTCGCGACCTTATGCGGCGCTCTTCGGGGCGACGAATAATAAACGAACGCGGAATGCGCCGCCGCGGCAAACATCTTTTTTTACGATTCATTTATCTTGACAGCACACTTTCAGCGCTGCAACTCACTTTGCACCGTGCACCGTCGCGTTTTAAGTCGCGCAAACGAGATTTTTTTTCACTCCCAGGAGCCGACCACAACCGACTTTTATGGATGCTCTTTGCACTGAGAATAAACGGACGTTGATCTTGTTCTTCAAGTTCTTTTAACGTTGGCTCCAACTCGATTTGAGGCTGCAGAATTAGATAGAAGCAATTCATCGCGAGCCACTTCGCTTAAATACAGGTTACTTATCCAAATATCGCAAAGGACACATATACTAAGACATGCTACAATATAATTTTCATTTATTAACTTTCAAATATCCATAACACTAAAAAACTGTTAATATCTACCCACTTATCTGATATTTTATGTAAAATAACTACTACGTTTGGCAAATATATTTATTAATACAAAATTTAATGACGTTCACATCGGTTAACACGAAAATGTGTATTTAAATTAGCGCATAATCAATTAGCAGTTTCAATCTATTTCCCAGATATAGAAACGTAACGTCTCGGGACGACCGTAAAACATCCGTAATTATCTTCACGAAAAAATACGTCGAAATTTCCACGGAAGAATTAAGGGTCAGGTGAAACATTCTTAACTTTCATGGCACAAGCAACGTCGAACTCGCGAATGAATTTATCTTTGCGGAACGAGCGCCTGAAAATCCGACCGATAAGACAACCACGAGGATCACGATTCTCATTTCTTGCCAACTTCCGCCGGCAAAGTTCACGGTACGTACTTGTTGGCCGGCGGATATAAATATTTGAACTTCCACTCTCTCAAGGATGCTGCGTAATTTCCATTCACTCGAAAATCACTCGCGCGTTTGTGGCCAAACTAACGGCCAAACGTAAGCGCAAGCTCGCTGCATTATTCTTTTACCTCCTCGGAAAACAACGGTCCACATAATTGGGCCAATTAATAGGGTGCCTTTCGTGATGGCTAATGAGTTATTAACATCCTTCGCCCTCTCGGAGAGAATCTTCTCTGACATTTTTTACCGACAGCTCGGTCGCAAGGAATTTAGCCTAGTGGAACGATGCGGATGCACGTGTCAGGTCACGAGGTCAATCGCGTCGCTGTGCTCTATTATCGCGGCCAGGTTGGGTTCGAGAGTTGGCAAATGGCCATCGCAGAATACGGAATAGTAATCTTAGCGACGACGCGAAGGGAAAGGGAGGCGATATGGGTTAATTCCGTCGTGCATTGAATATGCGAATGGCAGCATATGTGTTTGAGATTGAACTTTTCCCTTAATCATAGATTATCGAAGGTTACGTATTAGCTTCACATTCAGACCTCGCTGATTTTCAGATGCAAGGCGCAATTTTAAATCCGCGAGTTCGCATAGATTTCCTCCTCTCCGAGCGTTTACAGCACCGAACACGTTCGCTTTTAATAGAAATTTTATTCAGAGCTTAATTGTAACGGTGAGGCAATACGGGAAGACAGAGACAACACTATGGAGGATAGAGAAATTGCGACAAATGATGATCCTCTTTGAATATTTTTTTTTCGAGGATCACGGATTAGAGATAAAATGTTTGTCGTTAAAAATAAGATCGAGCATTATCGATTAGAAATCGATTAAAAATAAAATGGAGATTTTGAGTTTGACCGATATCCATTTCTACGCAAGATATACAGGGCTAAAAAGACTTAGAGTAACGAGCATAGACTGCGCGAATATGGCCACCAAGCCTGCTTAACGAGTCGACCGCATTAATCATACTGGACCATACGGCGCAGCGGATTGTTAACGAGATTTCCTGCGAGAAAAGCTAATTGACGTCTAGTCGCGGCAAATTGCATTTTCGATATGACCCCGGCTTAGTCGTTTCTGGCTTAGTCTTTCCGTAGCTAGTAAAATAACTCGGTTCATTATTTCGGGGCTTCAGAAGCTGACCAAATATGCTAACTGCATATGTATTAACTTGATCGTTTGTTTCAAATAAATGTATTTATTTTATTTATGTATTAATTATTCTCATAATTAGAAAACTTTCTAATTTATAAAGATAATAAGAAATAAAGAGTTTGTTGTACGTTTAAAGAGAAACAAATAATATTGTTTTCAAAATAAATATAAATAAATGCATTAAGAATAAAGTGCGAGTGTTATTTTTAAATAAAAAAATTCCAGAAAATTAAAAAGATTATAATAGAAGATCGATATAATGGTGCTTTAATAATTCTGGCAGTTACAATCTTATGTATTACAACTATTCTTTTTTCGATATCGGTTTCGCACAAAGCAAATTTTCATAAAATTTACGGAATAAAATTAATTAACTGCAATTAATTCAGCGTGTACAACGGAATTCGACAAAGACAAAAGCTGCGTGATGTTTATGAACTATGCACGGCATAGTTGTGTAAAGTATGCCCGCCGTTATACCGGCCGCAACGCGAGAGAAAGTACTCAAATAAATCAAGCGATTTAATTTCGGCGGGATTAAACCGGACGATCGGCCCATTCTCACGTCGGCAAGTTTTCTATCCCGGCATGTATAACGATAATCCACCTATACCTGTAAATCAAAGAGCCCTATATAAATCTATTTTAAAATCGTACAGTCATCCGCTGTCCTGCAACAATTAAACGAATTAAAAATCTAAATCACTCTCGGAAACTCTCATCGCGAGTCTGGCTCGTAAATTCTTCGCGCGTGTGTATATGCCCGTGTACGTGTGATTCCACGTGACCTCAGACGTGAGAATATCGCGAAAGACGTAAGATGCAGAGACGATTACGTATGCGTCGCCAGGAACGATACAATTTTCGCGCGACACCAGTCATCGTGTCTCCGAGGATGCGCAATCCCAGGTGCAACGTGCGTTCTTCCGACCGCAGAGCGTACCGCGAAATACGCCGGGGGGGGGGGGAACTCGGGCCGCAGCAACTCTGATAAAGTCGGAAGAAGGGGGAGAGACGGTGCGGAGGGATTTGTACCCCGGCCCCGTCAGATTCGTCGACAGAAACTGTGGCAATAAATAAGGCACCCCCTCGCGCAAGGGGAGTAACTGAGGGAGTGCTGAACTGCACATCTCGGCGTGCCGGCGCGGCACACGAAACTGCGCTGTGCCGAAACTGCGCTATTTGGTTTTGACCGCGGAGCGAGCGTGCGACCTCGGGGTATAAACCGATGGTGGTACAGAATAAGTTGCGTCAAAGGGAGCTCGCTCGTTCGCCAAAGTTCGGGGAGGGTTGCCCGGCGCAGTTTACCGAATTAACAACCGCGATGGCTAACCGCGTTAGCATCAATGCAGCGCGATAGGAGCAGCCG